TTTTATTGAAAAATGTGCTAGAAGTACGCCCAAAAAAGTAATGAATCTTTAAAAAAGAAAAAGACGTGTAGATGGCGCCCCCTATGAGTAAGAGCAATAAGAACATCAGGTTCGAATTCGACACCTCAAAAACCTCCTATTACCAAGTTTCGTTTAATTAAGTTCAGTATTTCAAAAGTTATTTGAATAAAACGAAAATAAAAATAAAACTTCAACATCCTGTATCTTGGAAACGAAGTGTTTCCGGACATTTATTTCTTTGGACAATTCATATTAGAATATTGTGAGGAATCACCTCCTGAAGTTTGTCAAAGTACTTTTGAATCACCCTGTATATGAAGATACAGGCATATGTTCTTCTGTTTTCTAAGGATAAGAGGGCAAATCTATTTAGCAACACTCTATTATCAATTCCTTGGAATGGGTAAGCTCCATCGAGTTTGTAAGCCATGTATTTCATAAAGATTTTTTGACAAGATTCGAGTTGCTGTATATGCACGTTGTATATAGGTGACCATATTAGAAAGCCATATTCCAGACGAGATCGGACATATGCATTAAAAAGTGTTATAAAACATTCTTGATTTTGAAACTCTCTACACGTCCTGAAGATGAGGCCAAGCATTTTTTTGTAGAAGATGTGATTTGATTAATTTGTGACGTGAAGCTAAGTTTCTTATCGAATATGATGCCCAGATCTTTAGTTTCTGTGCTTTGTTCTAATATGACGTCATTGATTGCATAGTCAAACTGTATATTGTTGTGCTTGAGGGTGTATTTTATAAATTTACATGTTTGAATATTCACTGGAAGCTTGTTTAGTATGCAACATTTATGTATCAAATTAACTTCCTTTTGCAGAATAAGACAGTCCTCGATTGATTCAATAGGTCTGAAAATCTTCAAGACATCAGCAAAGAGTAATATGTTACTAGAGATATTTGAAACAATATCATTTATAAAGAAAGAAAATAGAAGAGGTGCTAGATTACTTCCTTGAGGAGCACCACTAGTTGAAGTGAATTCTGTTGATTTGTGTCCTTTGTATTCTAAAATTAGGGTACGATTCTGAAGATATGACTGTAGTAAATTCAACAGTTGACTATCGAAACCAACAGAAAAAAGTTTATTCAGTAGAATTTGATGGTTCAATTTATCAAAGGCCTTTGAGAAGTCCGTATAGATTGTATCCACCTGTAGCTGTTTATCTAACGCAGTACTGACCGTTTGTGTAAAACACATGAGATTAGTTATTGTTGCACATTTATTGATGAAACCATGCTGATATAAAGTTATACTATTTCTCACTTTAGGAAAAAAGTTGTTATACAGACGCAAAGTTGGAGAGAATTGTTATGGGTCGATAGTTCAGTTCAGTTTAGTTTAGTTTGTACCAATTTGACGCAAGTTGTTATACAGTTTTGAAATCAGTTCATCTGAAAAACTTGTTTCAGATGAAATATTGAAAATTTTGAGTGATATATTCAAGTCATAGTTTTTTTCCTTTGAAATTTTTGGTTTTTGAGTCGCTTCAGCAAGATAACTCCGGAAAATAACCAACAAAGAGGGTGTTCCATTCGAAAGACCCGTAAAGACCGATTTATTTTAAAGAACAGTAAATTCAGAACAGAAAAATTACCTTTCTCCTAGAATTTTTTTCATCACAATAATAACTGAATAACTATATAATTCAACTGATAAATTACTTGATGAAAGTTATCATAATACCCTCATTGATGCATTTAACGAAACCATTTGTAGTTCAGTATAGTTGAGAACTTCACAGTCAATAAACGTTCATTAAAAAAAAATGTTTCGTTGTAAATTATTCGCAAATTGTTCAATGTGTCAATAAATTTCAAATGAACCCTTCTCAACCATCCCTCGAAAGAACACTTCCACACACCCTGTATATAATATTGACAGGAAAATAATTGGACAGACTATACTTGCCTGTGCAGGTGAGAGTGACAGAAACGTGGAGGGGAAGCTTATTAGGGTACATGCTGCACAGGTTAATGAGTCAATCAATAGCAAAAGCAACCAACGCATGCATGTATGCGCCTCTATGAAAGGGCTCTTTCCTCCCCCCTTCCTCCCGCCCGCGGCAAACAAAGAAGTGATATCTGTGCAATAATTCGCAATGTCATCCCTTAATTCAATTTGCGGGGTGCATTGTAGGGATTCCCGGATGAGACGTACTTAGAAGGCTTTCAGTTCATTTTTTTTCTGAAGGGGATGCACCAAAAGTCCGCAATGCAGTTTCGAAAGTGGATGCACAAACAAAAAATCACGGTGCACCGACCTGTCGAATTCTTGGCCGTGAGAGAAAATCAGGCTCGATTATCAAGTACGAGTGAAAGTTGCACTCACCTGATTATAACATGCAAGAATTCTCTTGTAATTCTCTATTTTCTAAACCTCCATGTAAACGCACAGCGAAATCAGGTACCTACGTCGGGAACACGGTAAAACTATCTAACCTAACATTGTCACAAATATCACAACATTTACTAAGCTAGTTTTTGTTTCGAAAAAAAACCTTTGCCAGTGTACGATGCATTTCGGTCGCCGTAAAACAATCAATTTAGTTCTGTAGTTTCGTACACTGGCACACCGAATCTTGCATCTTATTGGCGCATGACAAATTTTACCTTGGCGGTGCGTGTGCGAGAGTTTTTTGTTTAAAAGCATGAACGCGGAAGGTTGCGCGTCGCGGCTCGCTGCGATTGCTGCGCAACGCAACGTCCTCGTAAAAGCAGTCGATCGGGGTGAGTGCAGCATCCAATGGAGAAAAATCTCGCGGATATTCGCTGATGGTGGAGACGTTGAACGTCGATATTATTTGAGCTCTCGGTGCTATACTAATAATTTAGGTTTCTTGGGTATGAAAAGGCGTACCTGGACACATTAGAAATGATGTGGGTTTTGACTATACAGAACGTTAAAAATCAACAGTCGACACAAGATGATATATGTAGGTATCAAAATTCAACAACTTACTTCATTATGTATATGAGTAAAAACTGATTTTGTTAGGTATGGTGTAAATGTGTCAGCAGTGAATTAAATTATTGAATTGATTTTCATCTGAAATCTAAACCAACCTGAAAAAAATAACCTACCTCACAAACTTCTAAACATAAATTGTAATAATGTGATTCATACTGATATACGAGTTCATTACATGAATCATATCTAATGTCACAAATAAATCAAAACATTAGACTCCTTACATTTTGAAGAATCTAACCTCTCAATCATAATAATCTATATGTCCAAATCTCTCGACACCAGAAATGAGATTGACTCAACTTTGTACACATGTTGATAGATGGAACAAGTGTGCGTTTAGCGCCTCTGTGAATGGAATGCTGAAGTACGTTGGATTTATTTGTTTTATGAGAAATCAAGAGTGTCGTAGATCGAGTGTTATCGTCAAAATAACTCTTTTATCTCTATCTTAAAATAACGGTTTGGTGTTGGGATAAAACTCCAGTAATATTCATCTTGGGTTTCACCATAGAATGCATTGTGGTTATTAGTGGCACATAATATACTATCTATTTATGTATTTGTCTTTGGTTTTGTAAAAATTTCGTTGAAAATAGCTTCATAGGGAACAATCAGGTACCAAGAGATGGCGCTGTAATTCCAATATGTCTATTCGAGGAGATAACAACAAACATTAAAATGTTTTTTAAATACGTTATGATGGATTTAAGTCAAGTGTCAGCAGTTATATTATGGATTGTCTAATATGATTCCACTTTGATTCAAGCCGCACTCACAGGGAATCCGGTAAATGCAATTCTTGGAATCGCAGTTCGCGTTTGGTGACCTGATTTTCACGAGACTGCTACGGATAGTGTTTCCGGATCTGAAGCAGGTCCTGATTTCGTACTTGGACCCAACTCTTCTTATCCTCTCCAATAATCCTCTGACGTAGGGAAGTACAATCAGTGGTCGTGACGGCTCCTCTTCCTTGCGAGGCGTTTGCTGTCTTGTAGCCAAAGTCTGTTTCAACATCACTTTGGAGTAACCATTCCGCTGAAGATTTTTGTTGATAATGCCTAGTTCATTCTCGGGGCCTTCATTCGTATTACAGAGCCCAAAAGCACGATCTATTAGATTCTTGATGATTCCTCTTTTGGTAGATTGATGGTAGTTGGATTCGTGATTCAGATACTGACCCGTATGAATGGTAATTCGTTGTGGGCTATTGATGTGCTTCAGAAAAGTGTCTAGTTCTGTATTATCATGGTTCTATACTATGAAGGTGTCGTCAACGTATCTCAACCAGACTCGGGGCTTCTTGTGGGATTCTTCAATGACCAGAGTTCCAAACTGCTCCGAATATATGTTGGCTATAACTGATTTTAGTGGCAATTCCATTAGCAGTCCTTCATCTTGCGTAAAGAATTCGCCCTTCAGTTGGAAATAGCAGTTTCGTACACAGCCCTTAGTGATTTTAATCACTTCTGTAGGTAAGGTCGTTCTGTCTTCGAAAAGCTTTCTCTTACAGAAACGTTAGTGTAAAGACTTTCCACGTCGAAACTGGATTAACTGATCTTGCTCTGTGACTTCGATTGCCTCTAGTAATTTGACAAAATGCCTTGAATTCTCTACGAAAGTTTTTCCTTTAAGTGGTTGTATTATTCAAAGTGGAGTAGCTGCAATTTATAAGTTTCGATCCTAATATCACAACTTTTGTATATATTCTTTGTCCGGCGAATACCTACCAGATAGAATGCAGATACTCAGCCAAAAGTTCCAATTACGCAACAGAACTTTAGTTCACGTTGACTTAGTGTCTATCAACAACATAAAGACGTAGTTTGCTTTAAGCAAGACACACTACGTCCCCTTACGAACATCCGTTATGCAATAAAAGACTGGTCTACTGCGCCGAAAGGAAGGGAAGACCATAAAAAAAAGGAAAAAAGAGAAGAAGAAGAAAAAGTAGAATCTGGGGGATTTCCATTTTCTGCATCTTTGGCAATACTTATTATTTGACTATTAGTCATCATGTCATTTTGATGTTTTGGAAAGTGTTGAAATTGATAAATTGTTTGTTATTCATTTTATTATTGTAGTTTGCCACACCTACCTTCATATATTTAGCGTGCTGTAGCAAATATATAGACAGGATATGAAATAACCAAAACAAGCACCAGTGGAATGCCCATACATATTGATTACCTAGAAATATAGTCGGATCATCTGACCGTTGACAAAGTAAAAAAACCATTCAATAACCATGGAGGCAGCTCCTAGACTGCCTATGCTGTCCTTTGATCTGAAAGTGCCCACCGAGAATACTCAGTTTGCCCCCCAATTGAAACAGGTAGAAACTTAGGTCGACGCGCTATTCTATTCCTCAAATTTAACTTCATCTTCGTTGTAGTACATTGCCACCTTTTATAATGAAGATCCCGAGTCCTACAGTACGGAAATTAACAATTTGGAATCCTTACGAGCCGCAGCAGTCCGCCCGTCCACGGACTACAACGGGATTCAGTTACTGAAAAAGTACTATTGTCAGCTACACTTCTTGAAGTCTAGGTTTCCCATGGAGGAGAACCAGGAGGCTGCTGTTCAGTTCTCGTGGTAAGTAGATGTCATCAGACAACAAATTTTTATTTTTCAACGTTGTTTATTCCACAGGAAAGATAATCAGTTTGATATTCGTAACTCATCGTCTGATATAAGGTTCGAAATGATGGTGATAATGTACAATATCGGTGCCCTGCATTCGCACTTGGGCAGTGTAGATTCAAGAACCAATTCTGAGGGAATGAAAATGGCATGCACCCATTTTCAGTGTGCTGCATGGGCATTTCAGGTAACATATTGTTGCATACTACAGATTTCACTGAATCAAAGTCAATTGCTAAAGTTATTGAAGATTAATAGTATATGATACCTAATCAATTCATGTTTCTAGAATGTGAAGGAGAAATACCAACAGTTCATAACGTACATCTCTCTGGTTCAGTTGGTGCACTTTTTCCAGCAAGTATGTTTGTCCCAGGCCCAAGAGTGCATTTTGGAGAAGAGTATGCTGGATAATCGGAAGGCAACTATAATTGGTGAGTTTTCGATTTTTTAAATGTTTCAAAGTGTCTGCAACAAAACCAAAACTATGTTTTGATAATATAAAAATGTTTTTGGGGAAAAACGCTTTTTGGCTTTCACTTCTACATATTTATACAAACATTTTTTTCCTAAAACCTCGTGTCTCCCAAAAATATACCCCCTTAAATTTGAATGAAGTTACAATAATATTTTCACGTCCAGCTGTGTTATGACTTGAAACTCAACGAGTGTTTCGACATGGAAAACACTACTCAGTGTGATATGGTATAGGTCAAACTTAACAATGTTTGAAAAATTGAGTCAGGAAACATGAAAACAATGATTGTTCAAAGATAGACAGCAGGAAATCCAACAAAACAGCGTCGAGGACCTACAATTTTGAGCGCAACCCCAAGTTTTAGTGCCACTATTTTCGGGTTTGAAGGCTGTGGGTTCTTGGATTTTATTCCAGATGTTTCGCTGGTGCCAGTGGCTAACTTCTTCAGAGGTTATTATCTCTGATAACTCAGTCATCGGTGGAGATATTATAGAGAGAAATGAACATGGAAGGCAGAGAGATAGAGATGATATATATAACAACAAAGGTCGAGGTAGACTATGCAATCAGAGATAAATATAGAGGCAGAATAGAAAAAAAAAAGAGAGAAAAAGGTAGAGAGGCAGCATAAAATCAGAGATAGAGAGGGGGTGAGAATCAGAGAGGGAGAGAGAGATATGTAATCAGAGAGAGAGAGATAATCAGAGAGAGAGATATATGTAATCAGAGAGAGAGATAATCAGAGAGAGAGAGAGAGAGAGATATGTAATCAGAGAGATAGAGAGAGAGTGAGAATCAGAGAGACAGACAGAGATAATAGGAGAGAGACAGAGATATAATCAGAGAGAGATATTCAGAGAGAGGGAGACAGAGAGATAATCAGAGAGAGATATTCAGAGAGAGGGTGACAGAGAGATAATCAGAGAGACAGAGAGATAATATGAGAGACATAGAGATAATCAGAGAGACAGGGAGAGACAGAGATATAATCAGAGAGAGATATTCAGAGAGAGGGAGACAGAGAGATAATCAGAGATACAGAGAGATAATTAGAGAGACAGAGATAATCAGAGAGACAGGGAGAGACAGAGATATAATCAGAGAGAGAGACAGATTGATAATCAGAGAGAGAGAGACGGGGAGATAATCAGAGAGGGAGAGAGAGACAGAGATAATCAGAGAGAGGGAGAGACAGAGAGATAATCACAGAGAGTGACCGATTGATAATCAGAGTTGGAAAATAACCAACAAAGAGGGTGTTCCATTCGAAGAGACCCGTAAAGACCCATTTATTTTAAAGAACAGTAAATTCAGAACAGAAAAATTAACTTTCTCCTAGAATTTTCTTCATCACAATAATAACTGAATAACTATATAATTCAACTGATAAATTACTTGATGAAAGATAATCAGAGAGAGAGAGAGAGACGGGGAGATAATCAGAGAGGGAGAGAGAGATAATCAGAGAGACAGGGAGAGACCGAGAGATAATCAGAGAGGGAGAGAGAGACAGAGATAATCAGAGAGAAGGAGAGACAGAGAGATAATCACAGAGAGTGACCGATTGATAATCAGAGAGAGATATATAGAGATAATCACAGAGAGATAATCAGAGAGACAGGGGGAGAGAGATAATCAGAGAGAGAGATAGAGAGATAATCACAGAGAGAGACCGAGAGATAATATAGAGAGAGAGAGATAATTAGAGAGAGAGACAGAGATAATCAGAGAGACCGAGAGATAATCAGGAGAGAGAGACAGAGATAATCAGAGAGAGACAGAGAGATAATCAGAGAGAGACATAGAGATAATCAGAGAGAGATAGAGAGAGACATAGAGATAATCAGAGAGAGACAGAGAGATAATCAGAGACAGGGAGAGATAGAGATATAATCAGAGAGAGAGAGAGATAGATCGGTTATCAGAGAGACAAAGAGATAATCAGAGAGAGGGGGACAGGGAGAGAGAGACAGAGAGATCATCAGAGAGAGAGACAAGGATAGAGAGAGACAGGGAAAGATAGAAAGAGAGAGAGAGAGATACAATAAAAGGTGGAGGGAGAGAGTGAAAATCAGAGAGAAAGTAATAGTGAGAGTCAGAGGTGGAGACAGAGAAAGAGTGAGGGAAAGTGAGTGAGTGAGAGAGAAAGCATAAAAAAATACAAATTCAGAGCAAGAATAAGAAGAGAGGTTGAGAGAGATATATTATACCTTAAATTTCAAAAACAATCACTTGTGTGTTCGGTGCTTATTGATATAGTAAGTAACACACTTATGTGTGGCATGTCACAGAATTGTTAAACGGTTCAAGTAATAAAATATCAATAGTTGACAATGAAACAAATATACATATTATTGTTAACTCTGTCAACCCCAAATTTCTCAAAATTTCAATCTAATCTGAGAGAATATGTATAATTTTTATTCATCCTTCACAGGAAACAAAAAAGAATATTATTATGATTAAAAAATGTAATTATTATTATAATAAATCCATGCAGCAAAAGTGGCAGTTCAAGTCCACAACTACTACCGCCAGTCCCTGAGCATCTTGGAATCAGCAAGCGACGACTTGTTCAGAGATAAAATGTGCAAGGAGTGGGTCAAGTTTCTGCAATTCAAAATAGCGTACTACAAGTGCGTGGCTTTACTCTTTCAAGGCCAGCAAGCGGAGGAGCAGCAGAAGATGGGCGAGCGAGTTGCGTTTTATCAAGCTGCATGTGAACAGTTGGAGGAAGCCAAGAAATGGGCAAATTCATTGAAAAACCAAAAGGTGAGAATCAGCAAAGTGTCGTCTGTACTACATTTCTTTAGATTTCTTTACTGCCTCTCTTCAAGCATAGCCCACTGACTAATAAGAAAATATATTTTAATTTCCATTTCATTCTCAACTTTGGTTTCGAAAGTTTGTTGACAAATGATTGAAATCTACTTTGAAATTTTTTGGGAAATCTCAGCAAGAAATCAACGAAGGTCTAGCCTTCACCCAGGATGTTGTTGAAGGCAAGAGAAAAGCCGCTAAAAACGAAAACGAATTCATCTACCATGAGTCGGTTCCCGACAAAGATCATCTGCAAGAGGTGAAGGGGGCTTCCCTGGTGAAGGGCATTCCTTTCGACGTCAAAGACCCGGAAATATCTGGCCCCGACATTTTCGCCAGGCTTGTCCCGATGGAAGCACATGAGGGTGCTTCGTTGTACAGCGAGAAGAAGGCTCAGATGCTGAGGCAAATTGGCGAACTGATCGAGACCAAAGATCAAGCCCTTGCGGAGTTTATGTCGTCTATGCAATTGGATTTGTTAACAAAGGTGAGATTATTTGAATTAATTCTATTTTACAGCATATCACTGAATATAACAATATTGGAATAACAATCTTTCAGATGCACCAAGCTACAGGCATCCCGCAAGACCTCATCGACAGAGCTGCAGCGCTTTCTGTCCGTCCAACAGCAACTCAAGACCTCGTCAGCATTATGGGAAAACTGTCGAACATATACCAAGAAGTGGAATCGAACTTGAACGAAATTGACGCTTTACTAAAAGTAATCCGTGTCCAGATCATCAGGAGAACCTACTGTCATTCACATTTTCTTTATTTTCAGGAGGAAGACGAGGCGGAAAAGGGTTATCAAGAGATCATGGGTAAAAGACCGCCGAGCATCATTGCTACGGATTTAGCTAGGGAGGCTGCTAAGTATCGAGAAGCGCATACCAAAGCAAATGATTCGAATCAGACCTTGCACAGAGCCATGACTGCACATGTCGCCAACTTGAAAATAATGCAGATGCCGTTGAAGCAGCTGCAGCAACAGTTACCGACAGTGGAGATGCCGAATCGTGAGTACTGAAAGAAATTTTGGAGGGTTTCGATGAGGAAAGGGATATATAAGTTAATATTAATAAACGCTACAAAATTATATGTTTATAGTAGATGAACAAGACGGGAACGAGCCCAAAATCCCTTGTATTTTCTTATGAAGCTAAACTTTTTGCAATTTTTGGTTCAAAAAGGAGTGGGGGAAACGTGTGACGTCATCGACGCAGTATGGAACGAGTATCGTAGCGATTCAAGCATGGAACTCGGCCCCCTTAGTACTCCGCCTCACCTATCGCCCCCCTTGGTACTCTCCGCACCTCGGCCCCCTTGAGACTCCGCCCCTCAGGCCCCTTTGTCACGCGTTCCTAATTAAAAAAAGTCTATAGTCATGAGAATCGACCCACGACGTCCGCGTGGTAGACATTGTCCTTAGCCTCTACACCAACGACGTACGGAACATCGTATTCCTTCCAATCTAATATCAAATGTAACTGACTAATGGTGTACAATTATTCAAACATGAAAACGGCTACGTCAATGACAACGAAACGATAACGAATAAACGCACGCAAAACGGTTAAAAAATCACCAAAAACGGTTAGGGAAGCACGAAAAGCGGTCGAAAACTCACGAAAAAACGGTGTCACGCAAAACGGTCCAAAAAACGCGAGAAACTGTTGAAAACGCACGAAAAACGTAAGAGCCTCCTAGTTATTACCATACATTTTTATCGAGTCGTTCACGTTGAATTTTGAAATCGGCAACGCGACATTGCCCCATAAACAACGATTTATTTTACAACCGGCAACGCCGAACCTGCCATGCTGGCATTGACAGCGTATAACCTCGATACCATCTCCATCTCTCTGCCTCGATTACGTCACACGCGTCTCTCACTCTTACACATCTTTACATGAAATATTAATTCTTTCCCAAATCTAAGTATATTTTCCTATCTTCAACATGATAATGACGATTACAATTTCCCTAACATTCTACGGTCTATACTGCGGTCAAGTATATAAAATGAGTCAATTTCGGTCCAGACAAAACTAACTCTTTAAATACCCAACATTCGCAGTTACTTTCAATATCTTACGTTGGTGTAGAGGCTAAGGGCAATGTATACCACGCGGACGTCGTGGGTTCGATTCTCATGACTATAGACTTTTTTCAATTAGGAACCCGTGACAAGGGGGCCTGAGGGGCGGAGTCTCAAGGAGGCCGAGGTGCGGAGTACCAAGGGGGCTGATAGGTGAGGCGGAGTACTAAGGGGGCCGAGTTCCATGCTTGAATAGCTACGATACTCATTCCATCCTGCATCGATGACGTCACACGTTTCCCCCACTTCTGTTTGAACCAAAAATTGCAAAAAGTTCAGCTCCATAAGAAAATACATAGGATTTTGGGCTCGTTCCCGCCTTGTTCATCTACTGTTTATTTGTTTAGTCCTTATTCCAGGAATGCAGTTGTTATTGAATTGAAGAGTAGGGCATTTGTAACTGTATTTTGTTGACATTCTGCATAGTAAACAGTAGCTACAGACTTAGTATTGAAAATCTCTATTCGACCAGTTTGTCAAATTTCCAGTCCACTGATTGAAATTTTCATCCTCATTGTTGGATATCTTGCTTTCCAGCAAATATCGACGAAAAAGTTTTGAAAGACCTCGAAACCCTTGTCGCCAAAACCGAAGAAATGCGAAACCAACGGGCAATGCTTTGGGCTCAACTCAGAGAGTCTGTCCATCAAGACGATATCACAAACGCCCTAGTAACGAAACAGCCGAATGTCTCTCGCGACCAGCTCTTCCAACAAGAACTGCAGAAACATCAACACCTGGTAAAAACTACCATCACGATTTGCCGATTTCGTTGAAACTTTTTTTTTTACAGACCGAGTTGATTGAACAAAACGCCGCCGCTCAGGATAATATTAGGAAAGCTCTAGTCGATACATATGCTCGAGCGGTGAACACCAGAAGGTACATCCAGGACATTCTCCAGAAGCGGTCCTCCACCATCAACGCCTTGGTAGCCTCGTGTGACGCCTATGAAGATCTCGTGGCGAAAGTGAACAAGGGCATCGAGTTTTACACGAAGCTCGAGACGAACGTCTCGAAACTACTGCAGCGTATTAAGAGCGCCTGCAAAGTGCAGCAGGAGGAGCGCGAGCAGATGCTCTCGAAGAATGAAGTTCCCAAGCCCTCTACGGAAGCTACTCCCGCGGCGCCGAAGCTGAAGGACTATTTGGAATCGAGGAAGAAGAATCCGGCGGTGGGAAACTACCCGCCGGGAAACTATCTGCCGCAAGGGGTGCGCCCCACTCCTCTCGGATCAGAAGTGTCTGACTTGCCAATGACTGGCGTCAATGAACCAGGGCAGTATGGCTACGCGCAGGTTCCGACGGCTGGCGCCGCGTATTCTTACGGCGGCGTCGATATGGAACTAGCAAAGAGGATGAGAGGGTTATCGACCGATACCAAGCAAGACGCGTATCACGCGAACTACAGCTCTTTTGTGCCACAGAACTACACGCCAAACACGTACCCCCTCACGCAGACTACAATAACGCAAGCTGAGCCGATTTCTCCTTACAACCCTGCGAAGGCGTATACCGGTACCACCGACTCGTATCGCCGTATGCCGACTCAAACGTCGCTCAGTAACACGAGCACCAACATGCAGTACCCAGACTCGAGCTTGAGTGGTACGCCGGTCTCGGAGGCTTACTACGGCGGAAACTACCACTACCCCGCGTTTTCAGTGGCGGGTTATTCTCGGGGCGGCCCATCTACTCAACAATACAATATTGACACATATTACCCTCAAGGTTATGCACCCGGACAGTCGTACCAGCCCAGCGGAACCGACGCTCTCGGTGCCGGCAATATGCAGTACCATCCAATGGAGTACGCATCTTCGGTACCATCGGATCAGGTGAAGTACAGCTATCCTTCGACGTATACGTCGCCGGTGCCCAACATGGCTAGTACTAACGCTGGTGAGGCTACTTACCTATCGACAAATACCGGGTACTACTATGGTGCTAGTGAGGCATCTGGAAGTGGTACTGCGTTGGGCGGTGGTGCCACAGCAGCTAGCAGTGGTACCATTTCAGGCGACGGCGGTACCATTTCGGGTGGTGGTGCTATATCGAGCGGTAGTACCATTTCGGGCGGTGGTACCATATCGGGTGGTAGTACTATTTTGGGTGGCGGTGCCATCTTGGGCAGTTATGTCCCTCCGGCTGTAGGTGCCACCTCGAATGTTTATAACGCTTCAGGTACCGAGCAGGCCAATTCGGTGAAGTATCAGTGCCAGAACCCCGGCGTTTCTGGGTACTACTCGAGCCAGTGGAATAGTAGTACCTCTCAAGGGTTGCCTGTTGGAACTTGGGGTACTGTACAGGGTTACCAGAACGTCGCGCCGCAAGTTTATTCTGGCGAAGGTTACAGCCAGCAATGCTACCAAACTGCTGCTTCACAGAACAGCAGTACTTCTAGTGGCGCATATGGAAGCTACTATGGAGAATCCTACGCCTCTCCTAGTTACACCCCTCAACCAGCTCAGCAAACCCCTCAGGTACCCACTCAGCAAACCCCTCAGGTACCCAGTCAGCAAACCTATCAAGTACCTACTCAGCAAACCCCTCAGGTACCCAGTCAGCAAACCTATCAAGTACCTACTCAGCAAACCCCTCAGGTACCCAGTCAGCAAACCTATCAAGTACCTACTCAGCAAACCCCTCAGGTACCCAGTCAGCAAACCTATCAAGTACCTACTCAGCAAACCCCTCAGGTACCCAGTCAGCAAACCTATCAGGTACCCACTCAGCAAACCCCTCAGTTACCCATTCAGAATCTTCAACAACCCCTTCAGCAACTTCCTGTCGCTACCAAAGAATCCAACATAGATCTGCTGAGCGGTCTGGACTTCACCATAAGTCAAGCTCCTTTGGTACCGCAGCAAAATGTTCTCCCGGCCAAACCTGCAGAAATAAAAAGTGAAGGTTCCATCAAGGCTCCTGTTTCCAAGGAAGAAATCCCTCCTTTGGTGCAAGAAGTGAAACGCCCGGCATTCAAAGTTTTGCCGAGCAAGCCTTTGAACAATGCAGATGTTAAGGCCTTGTTCCACCAGGAGGTCGAGCGATATGAGAAATTTGTTGAGACGTTGACGAACAAGACGCTGAGCGGTCCGACCAGTTTGGATGTCAAGTGGAAAGAGATTCAGGACAAGCAGGACAGCGATTCGCAGAAGAGGATTGTTTCGGTCGCGAGGTGTTATCCGATGAAGAATCGGTTCCCTGATATATTGCCATACGACTATTCTCGAGTGGAGTTGTGCGGGGCCAAGGACGATTATATTAATGCTTCGTTCGTGAAGGTGAGGAAAATTTGGCAATATTATTTTAACTCGTTTTTCAGGCTCTGCATAGAATTTATAACTTATTCAGAAAAACATTTCGATTTGAGATCTTCAGGCGTCATTTATTTAATTAGTTTTTGTACAAGTGACTACCAAACACCTCCAAATATACTCTTTACTTCTGAAGGGTTCACTGTATCATAAAAAATTCTATCATCAGTTCGAAACACTCGCTCTTAACAAAATATTCCCTTTCAGGACGTCTCTCCTTACGCCCCACCTTTCATCGTAACACAGTCTCCATTATCTTCAACTATTGGCGATTTTTGGACGATGATACGAGAGCAGCAAGTTGAATTGATATTTTGCTTGTCAAACGACACGGAGGTAAGGCCATTTCCATTCAACGTATCTTCTTGACTAAAATTCCACTCTTTCAGATCGCCGACGAAGTGTATTGGCCCAACGAGAAAGGCCAAAGCTTGAACGTATTGAATATGGTTATATCTTTGCAAAGCATCATAGTGAAATCTCATTGGACGGAGAGGCTGATTTCCGTTAACGTTCCGGAGAAACGGGATTCGCGAGTCGTTATGCATTTGCAGTTTACTTCTTGGCCGGGAAGGTGAGATACTTTAGATTATTGTGTCTGGAAGGAGGGAGAGCCTAAGTGAGCCTAGTTGAAGTTGCAAATTTCATGTGTTTTACAACTTTTCCTAGTTGTTTTTGAATAGGATTTGATGAAGTCTCTGCCTCTCTTACCTATTACTGTATCTTTACCGTTTTCATTAATTCTTCTCCTGGAGTTTTTTCCCAACACCAAAACCTTATTTTTAACACCTCGACACGTGTTTCGATCACCAAGTGATCATCTTCAAAGAGGAAGATTAAAACTGTTTTAATCTTCCTCTTTGAAGATAATCAGTTGGTGATCGAAACACATGTTGAAGATTAAAACTGTCTCTTTGAAGATCATCTTCAAAGAGGAAGATTAAAACTGTTTTAATCTTCCTCTTTGAAGAAAATCAGTTGGTGATCGAAACACATGTTGAAGATTAAAACTGTTTAAATCTTCCTCTTTGAAGATCATCTTCAAAGAGGAAGATTAAAACTGTTTTAATCTTCCTCTTTGAAGAAAATCAGTTGGTGATCGAAACACGTGTTGTAGATTAAAACTGTTTAAATCTTCCTCTTTGAAGATAATCACTTGGTGATCGAAACACGTGTCGAAGATCAAAGCTGTTGTAATCTTCCTCTTTGAAGATGATTACTTGGTGATCGAAACACGTGTCGTGCTCGATGGGATTCAGGTCCGGTGATTGTGCTGGCCATGGCAATACATCAACTCCTTCGTTAGTGAGCCAGTCAGTCACTAGACGCGCGACATGTGGACGAGCATTATCGTGCATTAGGTAGAAGTTAGGTTAGTGGACGATAGGTAGAAGAATGGTGTCGAGGTACTGTCGAGCTGTGAGGGAGCGATTTGGAAAAACGAGATCGATTCTGCCGCCGATCATGATTCCGCTCCATAGCATTACTGTACCACCTCTGTATGTGTGGACTTCCTGGACGTGTCTCAAACGTTCATTATTTCCAAGTCGTCTCCACAGTCTTACTCGACGAGAATCTGGATGAAATCCAAATCTGGATTCGTCTGTAAACAAAACTGTGGCCCAATCACTTGCATCCCAGTTTTGATGTTCTTGACACCACTCTAATCTTCTACCGCGATTGCCTCTCGACAAAGGTGAACATCTGAGTGGCCTTCTGTTGTGGAGATCTGCTTCATGCAGTCGATTTCTGACAGTATCACGACCAATGGTTACCTGGTGCGTCTGCTGCAACACGTTAACCAAGTCAGGTGCTGTGATGTCGGTTGTCTTCTTGCGGTTAAGACCAAAAATCGGTCTTGAACTGCAGTTGTAGCGCGTCCTCGCCCTGGATGTTGTTCGGCTGGACTGCCAGTTTCACGGAAACGCCGCCACAATCGACTGATAACACTTTGGGAGACCCCCAAACGAAGAGCTACATCATTTTGTCGCATGCCAGCTTGAAGAAGCCCTACAGCTCTATTCATCTCAGCCAATGGTAAGTGATGGCGTTCCATGTTAAAGCACAATATTTCCGGTTTAATTGCTGAGCAAGAACTGCATAGAATGTACAAACTCGACACTTTCAGATTATTCATTTTAGCCGAAAGCCTACAGTTTGTAAAAAACTTGATAAAAAATTAGTTACCGTTTTTGCAGGCTTTGTACAACCCATAGAAATCTACAGGGTGGTCGAGTGTACCAATTTAATCGAAATTAAACGACCTCATGCATTTATTTTTATGATATTTAGTATGTTATAAAAATATCCCTAGGCTTTTCTGATGTGTGTATATGCTAGTGAAATGACTAAGTTGCTTGGACTAACAATCGATTATGAATTGTGCTGGGAACCACACGTCGATATACTTTGTAAAAAGTTAAGAAAAAATTGTTATGCGTTCAAGTTCTTATCAAATCATTGTCAGGAAAACATACTATTAATCGTTTATCATGCAAACATCAACCGTCATCTGCGATATGGTATTCTTGACTGGAGTACATGTACCTCTTGGTCACGTGTTTTCGCTCTGCAAAAATTTTCTGTGAGAATTGTTGCTGGACTAAATTGGAGACAGTCATGTAGAGAGACTTTTAAGCGACTAAAGATCTTAACTTTGCAGGCTTGTATCTGTATGAACTGTGTATATATGTATACAAACATTAAGATAAATTCTTCAATAGAACAGATCATCAATATGACACTAGATTCAGAAATCTTATGCCTGCTGTGCATAGAACTAACCTATACCAAAAAAGTCACTTATATTTGGGATGCAAAGTTTTTAATCACCTCGATGTCTCCATCCAAACATCTCCAAATATTAATATTTTTAAATCCAGACTTGAAGCATTTCTCATTGAGAAGAACTGTTACAGTATTAGTGAATTTATGATACAATACTATATTTTATAAAGTTGTTTTCTTGTTGACAATTCAAATGTTATATTTATGCTGTTGTTTTCCAACTGACAGTTAATTATGTTCTTTTTGAGATTTACACATCCATGTATAGAGTTACTTCCTTCCTTTCTTTGGAAGACTCCCTCATCCTTCTTTTTTTGTATCAAGATGGAGTAGTAGAAAGCCAAAAACTTTCTTTCCCAAAAATATTTTACTTCATTTATATTATTAAATGGTGGATACAAAAACTAAAGGTTTGTGGTTGAGTGGTAGAATAGCGTAAGCTAAACTCTGCCAAGATTGAAATAAAGACCATTTGATAAATTGGTTAAGGCTTGCGCGGCCAAGATTTTCAGTGTTACAATCTTCATTCGAGATTGAAGGCCGTCGTGGTTTGGAACTGTATCCCAACGTTTCGCCAGCACGAGTGGCTGGCTTCTCTAGAGGTTTATTCATCTTGATGGTGATGTAGGTTATGAACTAGTGTTCAAATAAGTATTTTTCACAACTTTGATGAAATTTTATGATGAATTATTTGCCAAACATTTCGTTCACAGCTTGTTTCCAACGAAGCCGGACCCGTTCATTGAGTACACTTTGGAACTGATAAATACCTGCCAACAACAAAGATGCAACACTCACCCCGTGGTGGTCCATTGCTCGCCGGGTATTGGCAAAAGCGGATTGCTGTGCTTGCTCACTGCCGCCATATTCGACGTGACCAATAACGCCAATACAGTTCCCGATCTAGCTGCCTTAACCGTGAAATTGAACAGCTGCCGAAAGAATATTTTGAGGGACAGAGAACATCTGAAGTTTGCCTACGAGAGCTTTTTGGGGTACATGAAGTGGGTTGTTTCTCAAGGTGAGTCAACAAAAATTTTTGAAAATGACTAGGCATACTTTTAAAAATAGTTTTGTTGGACATTTTTCGAATTGTTGTAAACTGGACATTAGAAGGAATCTTCATAAGAAGTCTTCATATACAGTGTGACCCATTTTTAATGGAAACACCCCCCTAAAATTTGAAGTTGTAAGTTGCCTCATTGTTAGTTGGATTGTGTGAATGTAATTCCGTTATTTTCATTAAAAATATTTACGCAATTTTTTTTTTTCATCTAGCGGCACTTTATTGTTGAAATCATAAAAAAATGATATATTGTGACTGTTAGCTGTGTGAGTTTTCGAATTTTTGAGTTGTCATAACTTTATTAATAATGAATATTTTTTCATGAAATTTTGGTCACACCTGTTTAGAGGCACTCTGAATCCAGTGGCGTAGTGATTTTTTCAATAAAAAAATCACTAATAAAAAATCCCGACTTTCGACTAAGAAAAAATATCGTAGTATGCCCTGAAACTTTCATAAACATTTAAAATTTTGTCCCAAGGTAGACTTTTTAGTACTTGACATTTAAAAAAAAAATTATTAAAATCGGTTTACAACTTCAAATTTTAGGGGGGTGTTTCCATTAAAAATGGGTCACATTGTATATCTGACTTGATTATTTTTTCTCTTTGACATACTTTATTAGAATTAAAGAGTACTTTCACAACCAGAGATAACTGAATCTAAGCTATTTTCTGGGTCAGTTGGACGAAGTGTCAGTTGGACGTAGTCTGTAGGCTGCAGATGACAGAACAGATGACTGACAGATGACAACAGATGATAGACAGAACAGATGACATAACAGGTGATAGATAGACAGATGACATAACAGATGTTGGATAGACAGATGACATACCAGATGATAAATAAACAGGTGACAGACAGATGACATTGACATAACAGATGATTGACAGATGACACAACAGAATTTTTTAACAATAACTAGGCTTGTGGTAGATACTTTTAACAATAATTGAAGTCATGTATGTTTGAATTTGTTCATTAGTATGTGTTGCTTTTTTGGGTGTTCATCCATTGCGTATTTTTCAAAGCTGGACGTTTTGCCGTCAACTCAACTCACAATATTCAACTAATCACCAATTTCAACATTAGGAAACAAATTTAATGATGGGTGATTCTTCAATTCTATTTGGTCGTCGAGTGAATGTTTACGAGTTCACGAAAACTACTCTTATATTATAAAAGGTCCATTTTTTTTCGAAATCGCTAATTTTGTTGCAGATAAATTGAAGAAGAAAATGAACGAGGTAGTGCCTAAAGTAAAAGAAGAAACCAAACCAACAACCGAAGTTGTAGAAAATAACATTGACCCTCTGAGTTCTCTTGATCCTTTTTGGGCAAGTAAGAAATAAAACCCCGTTTTCATTCCTTAACATTTTATATTCTTACATAATAATTTATTCAGATCTTATAATTATCAGCTATTGGTGATAATGGTAATTATATTATATTTGTTACCTTACTTTTAAATGTTCAATATTTTTGAGTTTTAAACAGATTTGGAAATTATAAAGTTGAGTTTTAAACATATTTGGAAATTATAAAGTTGAGTTGTAAAGTTTAGTTTTAAACAGATTTGGAAATTTTAAAGTTTAGTTGTAAAGTTGAGTTTTTAACAGATTTGGAAATTATAAAGTACCTACTATAAGTTTCAAGTTGGCTGTGTAAAGTACAGCTCTTGAGATACGACTGAAATTATAATTTCTTTAGAATCAATTGGCAAATGTTTTATTTCAAATCCCACATAATCTATGTAATGAAAAAACTCCAATTTCTAATGCACCGTTTCAAGGTCCTAAGAGACATATTAGACAACAAAACACTCAAAACGTTATATGCAGCTCTTCTTTCTGATTACTAATATAAAATGCTTCAAATCGAAACAAAAACCCCCAGGATAGAACACGAATACAACACTCGAACAAAACAACTTAACTTCAAAATGCCGTTTATGAACAAAGTTGTAGGACAAAAAACCAACAGCTACCTCAGCCTCAAATTTTTTAATTCACTACCCAATCAAATAAAAAGTTCAAAAAACCAAAATGAATTTAAAAAACGATTAAATGACTACATTACCAGTTTGTGTATTGTATTATTGATAATATTTCTGTGTCTATACATATATAGTTATTAACCTCAAATAGTGTTCTGTTATTATATAAATATATCTAAATCGAAAAACAAACTGACCATATGTATGTGTATATGTGTATGTATGTATGTGTGTATATGTATGTGTGTATATGTATGTGTGTATATGTATGTGTGTATATGTATGTGTGTATATGTATGTGTGTATATGTATGTGTGTGTACGTTTACATATATTAGTGGAACACTGTGTATATAAAAAACAGTATTTGTGGCAGACTTCGCAATTGTGGTATACTTGCACGCTCATACCACA